GTGTAATGAAAGGTGTCTCTTACCTGCTTCATGGTATAATACCTTTCTGCTTTAATGATCATATCTACAATGAGGGCATGATTGCTCCTTGATGCCACAGCTAGTGCAGTTTTTCCATGCTGAAAGCAGATAAAGTGAATCAGAACATTATCTCATATATATGAGGGTAAGTATGTCATAGAAGAAACACAGAGGCACATCCCTTTTTTTCAGGAAAACATCATTTGCATGAGCTGTATCCTCAGCCCGGAGGTGGTCAGTTTTCCCTGAAGTGAACTAAAGAAATTCTGCTGAGGTACAGCTGCCTTCAGAAACCTTTTGCACGCATAGTGCTGCATACTTCATACCTGCTTTCGCTCTTATTCATTCCCCTGTTATTTCAGGTGGATAGGCTGGCAAAGTTGGAAACCTCCGACTTTAAGGGCAAACCTGCATCTTGCTTTGGATGGTAAGAGAAGCTGGCTCACAGAATGGAAAGAGGGTGTGGGAATGGCTTTCTCATGACAACTGAAGTGAGCACAACTGAAGGTGATGTTTCCTGGGTAGTACAGGCAGTCAAAAGAATTAAAAGACATTGCTTTAATTCCAGCTGCAGAGGACTGCTCAGTCTCTCTGAACCCATCTCTGCTATCAGCACTTTGATGTAAAGGCATCTCAGTGGCTCTACAGGGTTCTCTCTATAATTGACCATTTTCAACAGATTTGCACTGAGTACAACTGCTTCACATTTACTCAGGGTATTCCCCACTCAAGTGCTAGGCATTCTGGAAAATTAGACCTAAAAAAAGCCAGCCCCTTAATTAGAAGGTTCAGTAATTAAATTATGAGGCATTTCAACTCTCAAGCTATTATAAAGTTCTCTAATACATCCCTTTTGAGTTTTAGCTCCTGGCTCTGCTCAAGATAATTATAATTAGCCTGTTTTTAGAAAAGCATCACAATTGAAGCCAAAGAATTTACACTTCATAAAATCTTTACAGCATAGACATAATTTATATGTGAAGAGTCCGGAGACCACAAGAGTTCCTTGGATCCCACCTCTGGAAAGGCGCTCTGCATTTTGCAGGTAGGTGGGGGGTTGGAAAAAGGGGGTGTTTCTGGCCTCCAGTGCTAGTGCAGACACTGCTGGCATCCTGCGTGCACACACAGCACAGCAGTCTTGCACAAAGGGAGCACTCGGCACCATCAGTCACAACGAAACACAATTATATCTGCAGATATGGGAGGAAGGAAGAGCTCCCAAGGGAGCATTTCCTGAGCTGTAGCAACTTGCGACTGGTGCACATACATGGCAAGCTCTGGAGACTGAGGACCTTTGCTGCCAGGGGACAGAGGCCAGGAAAACACTGTGCAGTCAAAGCAGGCTCCCCTTTTTCCTGCCTGCTCTTCAATAAAGAAGGACAGGAACATTTTTGCCATCTCAGCACCAATTCAGTTCAAAGAGGGCTGTGCTTGCAAATGTTCCCAGTGATGGCATGGCCTCAGGGGTCATCCAGCAAACGGGCAAAGGAAAAGCTACTCCAAGAAATACAACCAGTGCAGAAAAGTGACAGAACTTAGGCTGGCTCAGAGTTCATGTAACATGCCCTGAACTCTGTCAACACTACTGTAACGCCAGGGCACTATCCAGCCCAAAGGCTTGCAGGTTCTTAAAGTCGAAACAGGCAGTAAGTAATTTTCTGTGTTTGCCCTTGAACTATGAATAGGTAGTGACAATTTTCCAACAGCTAAGGAGGTGTCTGAAGTAGACAAGACTTCATCCTAGATTAGCCCATATAAGAACTGCAGCTCTCTTGCTAGTGTAGGCATGACTGCACTGCAGCATCTTACCTCGGCCTCCCAAAACACATCAACTGTGTCACCCACACTTTGAGCCCCGAGCCTCACATCAGGCCAGGAAAAAAAAAAACCCTCATTCCATAAAGCTTTGCTCCTCATCAGGACAGTTTTATGCATTAAAATTACTTTTTTAAATAACTGAAGAGCTAGATTTTGCTTATGCTAAACATAAACGTCAATTCAGTCATACAGAAAATCAATATAGTTGTAACAGCATAAAAAGGGCAGGCTCAGTCTTGCAGTGGTTTAACAAAATTTGTAAAAACTGGATTTGGTACTCTATCCTTTCAAAAGCACTTCCTCAGAGACTCTGCTTTGGTACTTCTTCCAGCCATTGCCATTTTTGCCTCAGTCTTTCCAGGCTGAACATCAGTAACAGGGTCTAAGTACCCACCTGAACAGATCTGGGATGGCTTCCCTGGGACATGGCACCACCAGTTCCAGAGCGCCCAGAATGCTAGAGGGCAAATTCACCATCACTGCAATTAGAGAAGCTGGCAGTACCAGTGCAATGGACCGGGCAATGGACCTGGCTGCTGGTGCACAGTTACAACAGCTGCAGGCTATTTCCACTCCATAAGCCTCGTCCCCTTTTCCATCAGAGGTCTCTAGCAGTGGGGCTTAGCCTTCAAACTACAGAGCTTGGAAGTTTTACATTTTTCACCCCACTGGCTTTCATCACATTTGAACTCAAAAACAGCTCTTTGCTAAAATACTTTCAGATCTCTGCAGGCTCTGGGTACATCAATAGTAAAAGGAGACTTCATTTGTAACAACTAACAGTTAGCTTTACTTAGGAAGGACGACTGGAAACAAGTGCTTCTTGCATCTCTGCAAAGAAGGTTAAATGAAATCACATAATCCTTGCATGGATCAGGAATGCAATCTACCTTATCCACAGTCTTGAGATCACAGCCTGCCTTCAGCAGCACTTCCACCAACTCCACATTGCCAAGATCAGCTGCCAGATGTAGAGGGGTTTCCTGCCTCTGGAATTAATGACACCAAATAAATACAGTAAGCCAAACTCCCCCTTAAAAGCAGAGTGCTCACAATCTGAATTTAAAGAAGATTCACAACAAGAGATGGCCTTGGCTATAAAACACTGAGCAGAATGAAAGCATTTAACTTTTGAGTTAACTACTTGCCAGTTTTGTTTCAGGCAAACAAGAGAGCATCTGGGAGCTCTGCAGGGAAACCAGACAGGAGTTCCAGCTGGCTCAGGAAAAATTTGCTGTTGTGCCCCTCTAATGTACCTAATGAGCTCTCTCTCTCTTCCCTCTTAAAACAAGGTGTTTTGGACAAGAGTGCTTCATGCAACAGCCAACCCCCACCCATACTATCCTGTCAAGTAACCTCTTCCTTGCTGAAATTCATGCAAAGAGAAGTGGACGTGCATAATTTTCAACTATATCACACCACAGTTCACGACAGGTTTTGTTAGCCAGCTCTGCCACAAAACGATGATACGGAGTGGAAGACGGAACAGAAGTCTGCTCCATAGTGGGTTCAGTGAGCCTTAAACCAAAAGCAAAAAGCCAAAGAAAGGACAAAAAACCCCAAAGTATTAAACAAAACCAAACTGTTAATAAAAAGTGCAGCTAAAAGGGCATTCAGCTTTAAGTCTAGTCTTTGGGTCTGAAATGAAGGTTGTGTAGTCTCTACACAGTTGCATGTACCCAAATAAAACCTATTTATTTATCCTTCTGCAGAGTATTAGAATAAGAAACTCCAGACATCTATGGGTGTAATGCAGCAGCAAACAAGATATGTTGTCATTCGTGGAAACCTTGCATATCTGGACATGTCCCTCAGTGTGTTTCATGTGACACAGCAGCCTTTCACGTTGAAGGTTTTGTGCCTATGCTTCTCTGATGTTGCCAATCTACATTCTGTAGGTCTGATTAGAGCACTTTTTTGGCCTTTAGATCTTGACTTAAAGGTTGCAGAGTCAAACACCAAGACCTTACAAACCAAGGAACACCAGCCTCAGGGTTCCACATTAGAGTCTCTCATCAGCGCTTTTGGGAATACAGACTACAATCACACGACCTCGGAAATTTCCCCTAACAATACATCCTATTTTCTTTTCTGCAGTAATTTAGAGATATGTATGTAGCCATTACAATATAATTTCAGATATGCTAGAGACAAAGCACAAGACACTTCTAAAAGATGTGTTCAAGAAGTTTACAAAATTCTGTTTATGTGTCAGAATAGCTTATCATCATACTTATTTTCACTCCAGCCACTGTGTGCCCTCAGAATGAGTGACCTTTTCAGTGGCCATATCGCAGAATCACAGAATGTGAGGGATTGGAAGGGACCTCGAAAGATCATCTAGTCCAATATATGGATCGCTTCAGAGCAGGAGACCTTCTCAGCATCCTTTTGTGTGCTCCTTGATCAGGAGACGCACTTTCTCTTTTGAGGGCAGTGGTGGCAGCTTGGTAGGCATGGGCCAAGCCCCAACACATCATTAGATGTTGATGTGTTTCATCGGGACAGGCAAGGCTCCTTCAAATGGTGTACCAATGACCCAGGACTACATGTCTGTTCAGGTGTGAAATCCCAAGCTACTGGAGGCAATAACAGCCCCAAGCACCTGCCCAACTCCTCCCACACATCTTGCCATCCAGGCATCAACTGCCTCCAGGGATGTTCCTGTGCAGCATTCACAATTAGTTGTTTAACCTTATGAACAATAATCAAAATGAGGCTCAGGACACACACTAGTATGTACAGTCTGATTACGTGAGGATATTCAAGGAATATCCAAGGTGAAAAGGGGAAAAGTGTAACTGCTGATTTTCTCCATGAGATGGTTGTCTGAGTACCCAGATAGCAGCAGTCTAGGGCTGCGTACCAGATTAGGCTCAAGGCTAGTGCTTTTACCATGGCTCTCCCAGGTAAAGCAAAGCCAAGTGATACACAACACAGCAAAAGCTGAAAATGGTCATTAACAATTATAGGAGGTCATGTCAGGTCAGCATCACTTTCACCAACAAGTGCCCTTCCATAGAGGAAGGTATCCATTACCTGAGGGGATTAGTGGTGGTGAAGGTGCTCTACAGTGAACTGGCCAACAACCAACCAGGCCTTCAAAGGCCACCAAGCAGAAGCCAAACAATCCTGGTAAAGGCAAAGAAAACAGATACCAGCGTCCCTGGGTGGGCTTGAACCACCAACCTTCAGTTAACAGCCAAACACGCTAACCAATTACGCCACAGAGACCTATGACTTCATCACTCAGTGTGATGTTGTATGGCATGGAGCATCATTTTGGTCAGCTCTGGTCATCTGTTTGGTTGTGTCCCCTCCTGACCACCTCCACACCCCCAGTCTATTCACTGTGGGGCCAGAGTGTGAAACAGAAAAGACCCTGGTGCTGTGCAAACACTGTTCAGCAACAGCAGAAACACTGGTGCCTTACCAGCACTGTTTTGGTCACAAATCTAAAACACAGCACCCTATGGGTTGCTATGAAAAAAATTAACTCCATCCTAGCCATCTGACACTCTGCACTGGGTTTCCCTCTGAGATCAATACTGTTGAGACATTTCTGTCATTTATTATGCATGAGTACCACTTAAACAATAAATTAATCTAAATATTTTTTTAGTATATATATTTTTCTATTCTTATCTTGCACAAACAATACTTAGCACAGCATGTACCAGTGACTAATACACATGCACACACGCAGAAAGATAAGCAGATTACTGCCTCTTCCTTCCTATTTTTTTGAACCCCATGTTCATAAGGAAAAAAAAAATATTTCAAGCAAAATCAGCATAATCTCTTTTTTAACAGTGAAGTTAAGTTAATTCCCAGTTTATCTTACGTGATTTAAGGAGTTTATATCATGATTGGCATCCAAGAGGCTTTTTACTACTGGTAGATGATTACTGATGACTGCTAAATGGAGAGGGGAATTCTTCTGCTGTGGAGGGAAAATAATAAACTATTATATTTATACATATATATACTTCACTAGAAGTTCATTGAAACAAGAAAGAGGTTCTTGTTAAAATCTGCCCCTTGCAAAGGTGATATGCTCCAGCAGAGGTTTGAGACTGCAGAAAGCACACCTTGAGGTGCAGAGTTATGTCAGAGATGGCAGCCTGCTCCTTCTCCTGGAACAGCCACAGCAGCAGCTGAGAAACTTGGAAATGCTGAGTGCACTGCCTGCGTATCAGTGTGTCAACACTTAGGAATGCAGCAAGGTGCTCCTCCTATGTGTTCATACCTGGGATGTGCTGCTACCCGTGGCTGACAATAGAGAGTTTAGGGTCATGTTTCTGTTCCCTCAGAAAACTGGGTTTGCCCTTTGTTGGACAGGCTGGAGACAGAATACAGCTGTCAAAATCTACTTTCCAGGAATAAACTCTTGCAACATATTGCTGCTGTAAATATTCTTCATATGAACTGACTTGTTGTCATATTTATAAAAAGCAAATTATAGCTAGAAAGAAATTAAGGGGTTTTATTTGAGTAATTATTCATTAAAATAACTGAGCCACAGATCAAACATCAGTCATGATCCAACCATTAGACTAGCAAGACCACTTTGTATGTTGAACCTGTGACTCATCAGTTTGTTGTTAAATACAGCTAAAAACCAATTCCATACGAGTGCCCTTCACAGGTGCCAGACACCAGTTCATTAGAGTCTTTATAACCACAGCCATTTCTTCAGGGCTACAGAAAAATAAAGCAAGCTCTTACGCAATGCTGCACTGGAAATGTTTCCAAAACATAAGTTACAATTTTATGAGTTGCTTCTGCTACAGAAAGCCAACAAGAGCAAGCAGCACAACTGCTTAATCTTTAAAATAAATTCTTTCAAGCAGACCATAAATTGTTCTTCCTTGATGACGTTACGCAACAGGCCAGTGATCATGGCAGATAAGTCACGAAGCCCACATTCTATTTCCATCCTGCACTGTAGTACTGACATATTGCTAACCAACATCCATAAACCATGTAATAACGTGTATACTAAAAAAATAAAGGAACTAGTCAATCTCATTCAGCTGTTGGAACTCCCAAGAAAGGCCATAAAAGACAGGACATGCTGAACAGCAGCAGAACAGTTATATCGATACACACTCACCTCAGGTTTAGGAACCAGGTCAATATTCTTATCAATAAGAAAAGTAACCAAAGACAGATGTCCATTCTGAACTGCAATCTGCAAAGCACTGCTATTGTTCTGAAAGAAATGGTATAGAAAGCAAAAACACGTTTTTGTTGTTGGAAAAACAGTACTAAAGAGAGCTATCAATACAGGATATTTCATTTAAACTTGTGTTATTATCCCCTCACCCCAAAAAAGCTCCCTTTGATAAAATGATGTAAAACGAAGTGGATCAGCTAGTTAGTGTGATGTGTTTTTGTAAATACTGAAGGAACATCCCATTTTTACTACACCATAACAAACATCCTAAAACCACCAGTATTCTGTAATGCTTTTCAATCTCTCTTAAGAAAGAGCATTAATAAATCAGCATTGCCAGCTATCCTGCACCATGGACAACAACAATGCCAACATGTCTCCTAGTCTGTTAGTTCAGTTTGACCTTTAAAAAGCAAGTACAGCTACCGTAATAAACTTTTAAAAATAAATCAATAGAAAATTTTCATTTAATATTTCTGCTAAAACAAACAAGCTTTCAGTCTGCTGGAATCATAAACTTCACCCAGCAGGCAAGCCAAGGCCATTCAACAGATATAAGCTGGACTGGAGTCCAGGAACCAGATGAGAACACGTTTGTCATCTGTTCAGTCATATACACTGCCAAAAAAGGAGGATTTTCAATTCCATGATATATTTCTTCCACTTCAGTTTAATTTCCTTAGCATTCTCCACATTCTCAATTCTGTTTTATTTATTTATTTACTATTTCATAAAAATAAGCAGAGAAAATACACTTTTAGTACACATAGAAAAGAGAATATAAGGTCCTTCTCACAGCCCAGGATGCCCCAGTACCTGTGTGCTGGAAGGATACTGTGTACATACTTGAGTTAAAATGTTGATGTCACTCCCTGCTTCCAGTAAGAGTTCCACACATTTTTCATGACCTCCTTCAACAGACAAGTAAAATGGAGTTTCTCCATTCTAGACCAACAGAGAGAAAATGTCTGTTCCAATTTAAGCCACGTGACTGTAAGACTGTGACGCAAAACAGGTGAGCTGAATCAGACTCATCCAGCTCAACAGAAAAGGGGAGATGGTCACAAGACAATACAACCTGAATGCTCCTAAATTAGCACTTAAATGAAATGGCAACTCACCAACACTTAAATGACAGATGATGTTTATGTCAACAGATACATGGTAAGCTTTACACTATAGATAACTATTTCATAAATATTAATCATGCTCTTTTCAAATAAGACTACTAGCAACAGGCACAGAAACAAAGATGGTGGGTAGCAACTGCTGCCATTCAACATCAGGCAACTCTGCCAGCATGCTAGCACATACCATACGTGCCAGTTTCTGCCAGTCCAATGCCATAGATCTCTGATGAATTCCAAGCTCTGGTGCTAGTTATAACTAGCACTTCTAGCAGAAATAATTCTGCTGCACCTTTATTTCAAATCTTCTCACCCCAAAAAAGTCTCTGTGTCTCCACAGCAACTCTCTAAAATAAGTTACTTGGGCTGCACAATGATCTAATCCTTGCTTCACAACTCCTAAAATACAGAAAGGTTTACTGAAAGTTACTCTAGTGTTTCAGCAATCACAGAAGGATCAATAAATCCTGATTTTTCCTTGCTTGAACTCCTGCCACCATTACTCTGGTAAACTTAATGTATTTTAGTGCTTTGCTCATGCTGGGGAAAGAAAGACCTCTTTATTCACAGACCAGAACATCTCTGGCTGGACAGGAAGTCTGCACCATTAGCCATGGCAAGGCAGGGACACAAGCAGTACAAGCTTTGTACACAGAAGCAAAAACGTTGTTAGATGAGGTTTGGAAACACGAGGGATTCACATTTCAAAGGGGCTTGCATGCCTCAAAGCTTGCATAGCTGGAAATAACAGACAAGCTGGATAAGAGAGAACCTCTCGAGCCATAAATCTGTTGCTCATTAAGGAAGAGGAGGGCCTTGGGTAGGAGTAGGTGTCCCTTACTCACGTCACCCGCTGGGGACTGTCCACGACGTGGCAGGTTTCTGCAATGGGCATGCCAGCCCACGACAAAGTGAATTAACTTGCCCAGTTCATTCCAGCTGCCCCACAGGAGACACAAGGACTCTTTGCAAAGCAGGAGCACTGAGCTCAGTATTTAGTGTGCATTTCACTCTGCCCTCCCTACTTTAAGCCTTAAAATTAAGCTCATGAGTGCATCAGCTCAGGGATACAACCTTCACAGCTAATACACATTTATGAATATGCTGGCTGAACTCAACACTAGCCCAGGAAAGAAAAAGTAGGTATGCAGTCACTGCAGCCAGTTCTGTGCAGCCAACTGAGATCAGATGAACAAGGTACAAATCCAAGGCCTCTTTGCTGAGGTGCCTGTGATGCTATGTGCTGGGTATGCAGCTGAACTGGCTGAGGGAACAGCCTGACCAGAGGCAGTAAAAGGAATGGGCCAGAAATGCTGGAGGACAGGAAGCAAGGTGTAGGTTAGGCCCTCCTGTTTCCTTCTACCAATAGTTGGGGCTTTCCAGACAGAGGGAAGACCATTGTGTGAGGAACAGAGGACAAAGAGACATTAAAGGAGATAATGGAGCTCAATGTATTGGAGGGGGAACATTGAAACAGGATGCAAACGGAAAAGCAGTAGAACTAATGAAGTCCACTCAGTGCAATATCTATTCCTTTAAAATGTTTTGGGTTTTTTTTTACTGAATTTTCAAATCTCTAACTTTATCTCCTTTGGTAATTTCTGTGTCCTTACCTCATTGAGGTCATTTATTTCCTCCCACTGTTCCAGCAGAATTTCTACAACTTCACTGTGACCATTTTTGGCTGCTAGATGCAATGCTGTGTTTCCCTCCTTGAAATTAAAATGCCAAATAAGATATTTTAAAACCCAAAATAAAGTCAGAACATTAAGCAAAAACAACATGCACTTAAACACACAGCCTTTGGTCTTTCCATCTCTCTTTTACAGAAAAGGAGAAGGAGGCAGATCCACACACTATATTCCAAGATTCAGACTAAACCAAAAGGAACCTTTTCATATGTCTGCAGACATGACCTTGGTCTACTT